CAACATTATGAGTTGTATTATATGGTGTTCAGAGATTGAGGTGTCTTGGATACAATATTTCTTTTGGAAATGAATTTCCTTTGGTGATTTTATAAATGTTGCATCAATTATGCTTCATGTATTGTTACATCTTCATCACATCTTCATCTGGTATATGTAAAGTGTACTTCATTTCCAGTTAAATATATTGCTACAGTTAACCAAAAAAGAAAGGGAGATTAAGAGGTGGAACTAAGGGCTGGCTGCCTTTCTCACTTAGGGTTGTGAATACTCAGTACCCAGAATTGTCTACATAATTTGCAAGGTCCAGTACAAAGTAAATTGTAGCACCCTGTGATAAAAAATTAAGAATTTCAAGACTGCTACAGCAGAGCATTAAACAAAGTATAGGACCCTATACGCCCTACCCCGCAAACTGTGTCTTCTAGGCACTTTATGCAAAGACAAAAGTGTACACTGAAGAAATAAGAATGTGTATTTTCAACAAATGTCTTTTCCTACCCCCATCCCTATCTTATACAAACTAACATGTTTCTTCTTTCCTACCCACCCACCCCAAAACCCATGCGGCTTTTTTTCTTTTCAGTTGAGGCTGTGAGAAAGAAAATGCTATTTGCACAGTCTTTTGTGTGTTCGGGGCTTATGAACCTTGAATGATTAATGGCACCAACTAGATTTGTTTATTTATTCATATCACACTGTGTACCCCTTGGGGCTATGCGTCCTCTTTCCTCCTCTACAGAGCCACTACCACCGCCACCTCTGCCACCAGCTTGTTAATGGTGGTGGAATGATGGCTTACCTATCCATGTCATTTTTATCCCTACTTTTTTCCTGAATGCGTTCATAGCTACTATTGCCTGCCCACCTTGTACAGGCTAATTTGATGAAGATTTTTTCTTTCCTCTAGTAGATCTATTTCATGCCTCTTATTTTGGATATATATAATCTGGCCATGATATTAAGTTTCACTTTACCCCAGAGATGCCAACAATCAGGAACAAAACAGATGAAATAGGGGCTTTTAACTAAATGAGCAGGGAAGGATGATTGCAAATAAGAATATTCGGTGGTGAATGTTAATTTAGTTATGATGTGCTTTTTTTACCACAGGTGTTTTTAAGAAATAAATCCTCATTCTTTGAAGTCATTTGTGTAGTGAATTAAAAAGAAAATGAAATTTATTGAAACAGTTATTGTATATGATGTGCAAAAAGGTAGAAAGTGCAAAAGGACTTATTTAATAATGTTATAACCCAAAGTAAATTATTTTTCTTCTATGTATAAAACTAAATAATGTCTCAGAAAACAGTCTTGAATTTGTATCTGTTGTATTATTTATTGATTTGTTTTTCACCAATCCAGTTTAGTGCTTTAGACACATACATGTTGTTGTTGTTGTTTTAACATAGCAGTATGGTGTTATTTTGAGGGCTCCTAAGTCTGTTGTATTTCTCATTCCTATTTGATCAAAATAGCTATTTTACCAAAACTTATATTCCAAAACTTTTTGTATATGACTGTACAGCTCAATTCATTCTCCTTCCAAGTAAAATATGCCCAGTAGCAATTTAGATCCTTTATAAAGGTAACTGCAATATTTTTTTTAGTCTTCTGGTCAAAATTGATCACTTAAACATTTTCTGCCAGCCTGAATAGGGACCTTAGGAATGTTTGAATGACTGGGTTTGTTCCTTTCTAAAGAAGCAGTTATACTCAAGGAGAACGTTACAGTTTTCTAAAACTAATCTAGTATTTTTTATAAATTTCAAGTACAGAAACAGTGTTTCAGATTTAAAATACTTTGGACAGAAAACGGTGTGTATATGTTTTGTTGTGTTTTTGACACACGTGCAAATAAAGGCTTTGTATAAAATTATCTATTTGGCAGATTATTAATGTACACAACTTTGTCAAACCTTTGGCTATTTAGCACAAATATTGATGAGCCCCGTTATACTAAAATTGAAAGTGTTAGTGATGTTCTTTTTAAAAATGTTCTAGTGACTCCTGATACAGTCCAAAATAAAACTGCTTTCTCTTTAGATGTAATAAAACCTATTAAATGAGAACATTTGTGTAATGGACATGTTTGTACATCATCGTTTTCATTTAATTGAAATTTTGTGTAAATCATCTTTTTCATATAGAGAATACCATATAGTTGTCCCCTTTGTGTGTATATTAATAATATGTTAAGTATTCAAATTTTTTACAGATTTTTCTGAATTGTCTAGGCAGTATTGCAAGGATAAAGGTTGAATATTAATACTAGAAAGAACTGTTCTTGTAAAAGATATTCATGTTTAACTTTCTAAATAAATAAGTGACATTTCAGGGGCTAAGACACTTAAAAATGATCTTGGAGATATTAAGGCACTGAAATATTTAAGTATAATTACCAGAGGGCCCAGGTTTTTAATATTCTTCACAGACAAGTTTCCAAGGATTCCCAATGCATGTGGTTCTCTAAACTTACTCAGAACCCTGGATACTGGAGATAGTCATATGCTGACAGAGTTGTCCTACTTTCCAAAGTCATAATATCTTCAAATATTAATTACCACAAAACCTGTGACATGCTCCTTTCAAATTTAGAGCTGATCATTTATAAAGCAGCCTAAAATTCAGGGTTTTTAGAGTTTGTATAACATCAGATGTCAGAAAAAATTTTTTCCTCTGTTAAAGTAAAAAAAAACATTTTTACACTTCCAGAGTAAACATGTCCAGTTCCATTTTAGAAGTATCACAGCATCTGAATGTAACTTGAATACTTTGTAACTGGTAAAACATTCTTCTGCATACTTTCTCATCACCCCTGCCCTTCTCCTTCAGTTTGTTTTATACACCTAGCATTAGCATTCTGTGAACAATTTTTTAAAGGATTGCTATAATGTATTTTATTTCTGTCCTACAGTAATTTATTTACATTTTAAAGGGAATTTGAATACAGTGGCAATTTTGACAACCAGCAAGCTCATCAAAGTAAGATTCTACCTGTAATCTCATGATGTACAAAATACCTGCTCTGTTCTATGTAACAGAGACAGGGATTGTGTGTGGTTTACCTTACAAATAGGGAAAGAGTAGCTGACATCTAGCTTTTGAGTGTCCTAAAATCTTTACTTCTGGTGTATCAGTTGCTTTAAAATTCACTTAAATTCAGATTGCTCACCAATGCAACTAGCAAAAAGGTGCTGATTACAAAGGACATAATACCTCACTCTTCCTACTGATTGTGAAGGACCGAGTTTCTACCTATATGCTAGACTGATCAGTGAAGAGTTTAAGTGTGACATTAGCAACATATTCATTTAAACAAGTGATGCAGAGATGTTCTATATGAATGTTGCCTATATTACATGCTGATAGAACAAATTTCCATTTATGTGCTGTCTAAATATCAGAGATTAAATTACTGGGTTTTCCTTTACTTTTTACTTCAGCAGTATTTGTTGATTTCCTATTATGTGCCAGGCTCTTGACTGAGATAAGTAATGAGAACCTTACATGATTTTTCTATTCCAGGTTTTTGTTGAAGCTTTAAATTAGCCATTCTTTAATACTTGACTTCCTATATGTAGTTCTTTACTTATGAGATTCTTCTTCTGAGAATAAGTACAGAGAAACTGTGGGCTCTACCTAGATTTTACTTTTAAAGAGGCAGATGACAGGAAGCAGAAACCAGTGGCTTGAATGAGATTTAGGCTTCTCATGGTTTTTAATTTTCTGTATGACATTTTCATTAGCATTGGCCACTTGACTACTGTAAGGAACTGTGTGTTTACTGATTTTGTAATAATAGCATCTATTCTTTTGGAATCTGGACTTTGAACAACAACTCATTTTACAGAATCATTGAATAGCCAGTTCCTATTCTTTCTTACCTAGAATTTTTCCAGGGGATTTCACATGGCAGGTTAACGGAAGAAAAGCCATTTGTGTAACTCTTCTGTTAGGTTTGTTTCCCTCCCCCTTGGATCCCTAGATATAACTTCTTACCTTCTTTTCCTGCTAATTGACCGGCAGCATCCTGTAATATTATCATCCCTTTGTCCCAAGGAATGGTGTAGTTGTATTCAAAGACCAATAAAATGTCATGTCTTGTCTATTCCTACCTATAAAAAGATCTTTTTCCTTTATTCAGTTAGATTTTGTGGAATAACTGGTTAAAGGAAAAGCAATAAAACATTTCAGGAACAATTAGCACTAAAATTTTGATCCACTTTAATATAAAAATCTCATTTTTTCCTTTTAATTATATTTTTTAAGTAGCTATGGAAGAAAGTGTAAAGTGAAAGCATGCAAAAAATAGCATTAAACTTCTAGTCCATTTGTAAACTTATATGAAATAATCTGGACATACTTATTTTCCAAAAAGTAAAACATGTATGATTGTACATGTCATACAGATTGAGTTAGAAAATTAAGCTTTTTTTTGCCCTTTCAAATGTAGGGTTGTCATATAATTTTAAGAGCTATTATTATAGTATTCAAAGTGAATTGCTATAAAATTCACTTTTCATTAAGCCTTTTATTACACTGTTGATGTTCCTTTACTAAGCTTTTAAAGCTTGTAAGAGCTACTTAGTGAAGTAGTAATCAAGTGCAAACTTAAATAAACGGTTATAATTTTCCTGGAAATGAGGAAGATTTAACCAGATGTTAAAATGTGTATGTATGATCATAAGAGAAATACCATTATTATAACAATTGATCGATTAAGTAATTCAAGTTATTTAGTTACATTTTCTCAATTTGGTATGGTAAAGCATTATTTGAAAAAGTACACGAAGAATGTATGTAGATAATATTACTGCTGTTAGAGAACCAGCTGCAAATTAGTGCATGCTTTTGGGAATACAAGTAACTGCATACTTTCCTAACTTGGTTTAGACTGTATGACCTCCCTAGAAATTACATGTATGTCTGTATGTGTGTATTTATGTATATTTGGGAATATATAAAAAATACTGTCTTTCTCTTCTTCCCCTTTTTAGTTTTAGATTGTAAGCAAAAGAAATCAAGGTCAAGATCTGGAAGCAAGAAGAAAATGCTAACATTACCTCATGGTGCTGACGAGGTTTACATTCTCAGATGCAGGTGTGTGCTTATATTGCTAAATCTGCTTAGTTCAGATTTTGTGTTGATATGTTAGCTACTTTTTAGGGATTTTAAATTTGTGGCAGAAGGTGCATTCTCCACAATTAAATTATAAATGAACTTTTGGAGACAAGCTTAAAATCTTAACTCAGTTCATAAACGCTATACTTTAACGGATCAACTTTTTTATATTAGCGAAAGAGCCTCTATGATACTGTGAATTATAAAAATAGCTTTTTGTTGTTTTATTTATTTGCTTTGTTTGGTTTGATTTGGTTTGATTTTTTAAAGTTGTCTTTAGTTTCTGCTTATTGGGAATATATACTTCTAAGTATAGCTATACAAATTATTCACACCTCCCTCCCATATTCACCCTCACGTAGTTCAAGGAATTCTGAATTGGGTAAGGGTCTTTTAAAAAGAAGATGCATTTTGGAAATACAGTTGTTTTAAATGTAGGTTTTAAGACCTTTTATTTAATTTTAATCTAATGTTCCCATTTCTACAAATATTACTGGAGTTATTATAGCTGTTAAATATGTGAATTGGCAGTTTTGATACTGTATTAAATCGTTTTGATTTTATATGTATTTAGAAACTATTGTCCAGAGCGCGCTCTCCAATATATGGTAAAGCTTACTTCTTATGTTTATTGATTTTATGGGAATTGGTTTTAAATAAAGGGAATTGGTCATGTTAAGAAAACTGTCATTAACTTCTTCTGTAGGTTTTGTGGCCTAGTCTTTCGTGGACCATTGTCTGTTCAGGAAGACTGGATTAAGCACTTACAACGACACATTGTAAACGCTAATCTTCCACGGACTGGAGCTGGCATGGTGGAAGTCACGTCACTGTTTAAAAAGCCTGCTTCCATTACAGAAACTTCATTTTCTTTACTAATGGCAGAAGCAGCTTCATAGAACGAGGAAACCTTTTAAATAGCAAATATGAATTGGATGTAAATTTGAAATTCTTTGTCTTTTTTTTAAAGCCACATTAAATTATCTGTTTATAAATACTAAAGCAGGAAAAAGGGGAAAGGTGAATTATGGTGACATCAGAACAAATTGAGTACTTCAAACAGTAAGTAGTCTATTTTATATAGGACAGAAGATGTGTTTTCAAGGCTTACTGGATTTTGTCAGTTAACTGTATTCATTCAGTAAAAGATCAGTATACGTAAGCAGTCATTAATAAACTTGCACATAGATACTTAAAGACAGACTTAAGGAAAATTATGTTTTCTGCAGTGTTACCAGGATCAAGGTTCTGTTTATTCCCCCACAAGACTTGCATTGAAAAATAAGATATTATATTTTGTTTGTATGTATTTAGTGTTTTGTATAATACCTGGAACCGCTAACTAAATTTACTCAACTTAGGGCATTAAATATCATGTACTTCATAGATTGAGACTGTTCACTCAAATAGGGCAGAGTACTATTCTATCTAGATGTGTAAGTGTTTTTTTAAAATCACATGGAATGGTTTTTTTTATACTAAAAAGTGGAGGGAGATTTGTTTAAACAAGTATTTCTAAAAGAAATATGTACATAGTCCTGGAAATTATTTGTGGTAAGGAAATATTCTTTACTCCAGTTGCATTTCTCAGACAAATAAAGTGGTGCATCCATGCTACCTCCTACTTTGTCAACAAAGATGCTATTTACCCTTTACATTTTTGTATCATAATAGATTTTAAAATCTAATGTTCTTTATTGCAAGGCATCCTTTTGTTAACAGATTTGTTTCTTTTTAATGTTTTACCTAAAATTTGACATGCTTACAGGACAGGTTTGCCTCTTACTTTATTTAACATTGTAGAAATGTAATTAATAAAGATGCTCACTACACAATTTAGAATAGGTTTTCTCATTTATATTCTCTTCCAAAATTGATCAGTAGCAAAACTTAATACACCAATTGAAATATTTCTACATATGATGAGAATGTTTACAATTTAAATTTTAGAACTTGTTTTGGATGTGATTATATGTACGAAAATCGTGTAACACTATGCTTATGCTAAGAACCGACATAATGGAATTACTGAAATAAATGTGCTGTGAGGAATGGAAAATATGGTGCAGATGTCTTGGTCATGATAAATTGTGATTCTTCTTTTCAACTTTTTCCAAAAACAAATTAGTTCTTTTAATCTGAAATCAGATTGCTTTACAAATAACAGTTTTTGTATGCAAGCACCATTTCATTTAATTTCATGTAGTATGGCTAATACTATAGTTGAAACAAGGATATGCATTGATACTTCGTATGTAAATAAAGTTAAAAACATTAAATAAGGAGTATTTTGGTAGAGTATATACATACCTCACTGCCAGTGAAATTGCTTTCCTATGGTATATCTCCTTACCAGAAAAATCTCTAAATAAAAAAAGACTTAAAGAAAGTTACAATGTGTATAGTGTGAAGCATTTTTTATTTTTATCACTGGTGGGAATAGCCCATTTGGGTTTGTGTTTCATTTGATTTAAATTGTTTATACTTAGCAGATTACTTTATTCACATACCTTATATGTGAAATTAGGAAATTGGACTGAATGGATCATTCAAGAGTCTCTTGATCCCTGGGGTGTACTAGATAAAGGAAAAGTACTTGTAAGTTATCTTCATTTTCAAAATGCCTAATAGAAACTGTATTTTTTTTATAAAGATGAGAGTAAAACATCAAATTACTTTTGACTAAAAATATACCAAATCTGTGTTATAGTGGTTGTCTCTTATTGAGCAAGTTTCATTGATAGTTATATTTGACTATATATATGTGTGTATATGTGTGTGTGTGTGTGTGTGTGTGTGTGTGTATAAAACTGGAAGACAATACTACATAGCAAGTAGAGTTCAGAAGTTTAAAAAAAAAGACTCCTGGTGGAAAGACTAGCAATCACTAGATCCCGTTTAGCTCTAATTTTTATAGTTCTGTGATTTTATCTTTTTTAAAAAAAGGTTTTAGTGATTTTTAGAGAGAGAAGGAGAAAGAGAAACATCTGTCGGCTGCCTCCTTGCACACCCCCTACTGGGGATCAGACCCACAACCCAAGCATGTTCCCTGACTGGTAATTGAACCAGCGACCTCTCAGTGCATCGGATGAAGTTCAACCAGCTGAGCCACACTGGCCAGGGCTCATTTTTATCTTATTAAGCCTACTATCAAGATGTAGGAATACAAGAAAAATAGCTAGTTTAACCATAAGTTTCATAAACAAACCTAGATTAATTTTTTTTATGTCAAACTATATTTAAAATAATTATGTCTTTTTCTAGATGTAAAGAGAATTCAAATTCAAATTAGAAACCGTAAACTAGAGGGAATCCTAAAAAGTAAATTAAACAAAGAACATTTCTCATAGTAAAGATATTTGGGTTACAAAATTTTAAAAATACTTTAGGAAGCAAAGTTATTTGGCTTCCACATATAAAATATTGTCTCTGGTTAGGCTTTCATGTCTAAATATGGCTTGATTCAGTATTGTCTAATTTTCTTTTAATTCTTTTATTATTGCCTAAGATATTTCAGCTTTTTTAGTATTAAAGCTTTTTCTCTGGTTAAAATCTGGTTAAAAGTGTTGATTTACTTAATAGCATCAAGACACATGCTTTTTTAGAATATATTAGAACCACAGCATAGCTAATAACTCTATTAACATCTCCATTTTGGTTTGACATATTAAATACAGGTTAGACAGAGTTTTTCAGTAGTAAACAAACTTCTTAAGGTCATGAACTTATCCTCTTAGGAACTGTACACTTAAAGCATATTAATCCAAAGGATAGCTTTGATTTTTTTTTTCTTACTGGAAAATGTAATATATATTCATTTTAGAAATATTAGGAAAATGAGAAAGCCAATAATGAGGAAAGTCACCTTTTCTATCATAACTCAAAGACATTCACTTTAAACAGCTTATAGCATTTCTCTCTCTAGTCTTATTGTTTCAGTATAATTAATTGTAATGTTTTATAATGTATCTCATTTTTCCAAGTTAATTTTAAATTTGAGTTCTGCCTTGTATAGACTAACCTTTTGAATTGTAGCTCGGGAGCATTTTCCAACACCAACAACTGATTCTCTGATTCTCTAGACACCAACTGGGAGACCAACAATTCAATTTTGACACTGGTGACCTGGAGTCCATATTTTAAAGGGCTTATAGTCCTACAGGACTGCCCACATTTCAGATGCCAGTAGAAAGTATCAGGTCACCTGTACTTCTGGCAAACCAGCTATAAATTGGGGGTTCCCACAAAACCCATCTTCAGGTTCAATAATTTGCTAGAATGACTCAGAACTCAGGAAACTACTTGACTTTGCCAATTCATTATAAAGGATATAACTCAGGAACAGCCAAATGGAAGAGACAGTTGGGGCAAGGTATTGGGGAAAAGGGTGGTGTGGAGTGATCCATCCTCGCAGCATCTTGGTGTATTGACCAACCTGGAAGCTGTCTGAACCCCATCACCTGTGGGATTATTATGGAGGTTTCCTTACAAAGGCACAATTGATTAAATCATTGGCTGTTGGTGATTATTAACTCAATCTCTAGCTATTTTTCCCTCCACAGAGCTCTGAGGTTGGTAAGACAGAGTTCCAACCCTCCAATCATGCCCTGGTCTTTCTGGTAACTAGCTCTTGTCTGAAGCTATCAGGTGGTCCATAGCCACCAGCCATGTCATTAGCATACAAGAGACACTCATCACTCTGAAAATTTCAAGAGTTATTTAGGAGCTGTGTGTGAGGAGCCAGGAACAAAACCCAAGTATTTGTTTTTTATTATAGTTAACACTTGGATGTGACAAAAAGCCAGCATCAGTGATATTTCAGATCATGAACCATAATCAGCATTTACCCCTGCTATAGGAGGTAGCTATCAAAAATTTTTCAACAGTGGATACTTTTCTTATTTTGAGGGCTAATCAAGTTCAGGTATTGGTCTTTCATTAGTAGCCCGTAACTCCAATTTCTTGGTCCTCTAGCCTACATTTTAGACATAGGTACAACTTCAGTTTTCCCTGATTATCACAAATAACTGAATAATACTTTTAATTGCTTAGGTAAACAGTAATAAGTAAAACTTACATAAATTGATATCTAATAGTTCAAGTTTCTTACATTAAATCAGAAGACAAGATGAATAAAAAGTGAATATAATCTATTAACTTGGTTTTTTTTTCTTGTTCCTAAAATTTTAGACAAGAAAAAGAAAAATACACAGCATTCCACCATATTAAAATTTGTCTTATTAGTCTTGTTTTTCTATTTATATACTTTTGCTTTTTAAAAGAACATGAGATTAGGCTATGTAGAAATTGACTGTTCTCAGCAGTAGATCCACAAACATTTTTATGCCACTAAATATTAAGATTTTTGCATAATGTTTTATTGTACCACACATTATTTACTACTTCATTAAAATGTAGCACAATATTTTGCAAGATGCAGCTGTAAACAGGATGAGCTTGGCAGGAGCCCAACTGAATAAGTATAGCCAACTGCAAAAGGAAGAAATCAACATGTGATTAACCAAATATGTGATTAACCAAATAGTATATATAAATAGTGGCTAAGCCTCTCTTTGGGGAGACAGAGATTTGGATGTAAATCACCTGCAAGTAAATAAAACTACCTAAAGACAACCATGTAACCCCTTGAGTTGGGTAACGAGTTCTTTCTGTTGGGTTTGATGCCTTTCATTCGTGGTGTTGATTTTCTCAAATATTTGGTTGATACTTGCTTGTTCATCTTATATTTCTTGTTAGCCTTTCTGTACATGTTTTATTGATTCAGCCTGTTTCTAGTGATTATAGGGAAGGAATACAACCAGTATGGAGTCTTCTAGAAGTATAGACTTCATTCCTCTTTCATGGCTGAACTAAAAGCACCCAAACCTCTAGAGCCCTTCCCACCTTTTGGAGCCACCTTTCTTTGCATAGTTTGGATTAAGATTTCCTCCTTCAAACACAACCACCCAAAATCTATGGGACACAGTGAAAACAGCCCTGAGATGGAATTTCATAGCATTACAGGCCTACCTCAAGAAGCAAGAAAAAGCTCAAGTAAACAGTTTAACCGTACACCTAAAAGAATTAGAGAAAGCACAACAGGAAAGATTACATAGAAACTAAAAAACCAATACAAAACATCAGTGAAACCAAGGGCTGGTTCTTTGAAAAGTTAAAAAAGATTGATGAATCTTTAACCAGTCTCATCAAGGAACAGAGGGGACACAAATAAAATCAAATGAAAAAGGAGAAGTAACTGACATCACAGAAATACAAAGGATTGTAAGAAAGTATCACCAACAACTATATGCCAACAAATGGACAACCTGGGCAAAATGGACAAATTCCTGAAAACATACAATCTTCCAAAACTCAATCAGGATGATGCAGAAAACCTGAATAGACCAATAAGAACTAATGAAATTGAAGCAGTAATTTTTAAAAAACTCCCAGAAAACAGAAGTCCTGGACCAGATGGCTTCATGGGCAAATTTTACCAAACATTCAAAGAAGAGCTAACACCTATCCTCAAACTGTTCCAAAAAAGTTCAGGAGGAGGGAAGACTTCCAAGCTCTTTTTACAAAGCCAACTATCAGAGAAAACAAGAAAACAGTCCCACTTACTATTCCAACAACAAAAAAAATAAGGTACCTAGGAATAAATTTAACCGAGGAGGTAAAAGACCTGTACTCAGAAAATTATAGGACATTGAAGAAAGAAATTGAGGAAGATGCAAATAAGTGGAAGCATGTACTGTTTTCTTGGCTTGGAAGAATCAACATTATTAAAATGTCCATACTACCCAAAACAATCTATAGATTCAGTGCAGTCCTTATTAAAATACCAATGGTATGTTTCACAGGTCTAGAAAAAATATTCCAAAAATTTATATGGAACCATAAAAGACTCCCGAATTGCCTCAGCAATCTTGAGAACAAAGTTAAGAGGGATCACAATATTGGATATCAAACTATACTACAAGGCCATTTTAATCAAGACGGCACTGGCATAAGAACAGGTATAGAGATAAAAGGAACAGAACAGAGAGCTCAGAAATCAACCCATACCTCTAGGGTCAATATTTGACAGAGGAGCAAGAGCATACAGTGGAGTAAAAACAGTGTATTGAATAAATGGTGCTGGGGAAATTGGACAGATAACATGCAAAAAAAAAAAAAAAAAAAAAAAAAACAAAANAAAAAAAAAAAAAAAAAAAAAAAAAAAAAAAAAAAAAAAAAAAAAAAAAAAAATGCAACTAGACCACCAACTTGCACCATACAGAAGAATAAACTCAAAATGGATAGAAGACTTTAGTGTAAGTCACGGAACCATAAAAATCCTAGAAGACAGTAAAATCTCAGACACCTCTCATAGCAATATTTTTGCTGATGCATTTCCTAGGGTAAGGGAAACAGGAAAAAAACAAATGGGACTGCATCAAAATAAAAAGCTTCTGCACAGCGAAAGTAACCATCAACAAAACGAAAAGGGAACCTGCTGTATGGGAGAAACATACTTGCCAATGATACATCTGATAAGGGGTTAATTTCCAAAGTATACAAAGAACTCCTACCCCTCAACACCAGGAAGACAATCCAATTTAAAAATGGGCAGACCTGAAAAGACGCTTCTCCAACCAGTAGACATGAAAAAATGCTCAGCATCACTAGTCATCAGAGAGGTACAAGTTAAAACCATAAT